GACCTATCAGTCTTGCGCCAGGCGTTTAACCAACTAGATCACTGATTCATGATTTCAACTATTGAAATTACCAATTCTCCACAAAACCCTTTCTAGTAATATATATTTATACCTGGTCCTACGTTACAGCTGACTGACTGACTAATCAATTCATGATCTTACTTAAAACTTAACAATCTTCATAACCTTATTCTTAACATGGATATCCTTGATAAATAAGAAAAGATCACATATACCATGGTTGAACTAGATCATTTCAAATAAACTAAGCATTCGTTAAAAGGTGGAATAATCAATACAATTTTTTTTTTTCAAATTATATCTTAATAAGGAGTAAAATTGTATTTCTGACAATGTTTCGTCATTTAATTTAAGACGCTTCTTCAGAGTAAATCTATAACTGATAAAGAAATACTTTGTATAACTCATTGAGATATTACAAAAGATATATCTCCTATTAACAAAAAAAGGATTGTAGTTATCATAAAGATTGTTTAGTTTGTTACAGTAAAGATGATATCATTAGATCAATATTCAATATATGATGTATTCTGACATTAACTGTATGAGTTGAAATCCTAGAGAACTACAAAAGCCATCATCCAAAAGATACAAGTGTTTATTAATAGTTGTCTATGCAAAATACTTCAGATCCGTTGACTAGATACTATTAGCAACAACCTACTGTGAGAGAGAACAAATCAGATCACAACGGAGGAAGAAATTAGAAAGAAGCGTTAGAAGTGGATAGAACACACATTGAGGAAAGCACCCAACTGTATCACAAAACAAGTCCTCACATGGAATCCTCAAGGCCAAATGAAAAGAACACATTACACTGTAAAATGGAGATAGACATAAGAAAAATGAACAACAATTGAATAGAACTAGAAAGGAATATCCAAGATAGAGTAGGTTGGGGAATGCTAGTTGGCGGCTTATCCTTCATTGGAGGTAACAGGCGTAAGTAAGTAAAATCATTAAGTTATTTGCTAAAAAAAAAATAAACCAGAGATAATCTCATTTAACTGATGAATGATATTACTATTTTTCTATTTATTTTATTCATAACATTCAACAATTCAAAGATCATTTAACTTCAATACATGACAATAATATAGAAGACGAAATCAATTTTCGTAATCTAGTTCATTGTGTTTAACACTTACTTACTTACTTACTTACTTACTTACTTACTTACTTACTTACTTACTCACTCACTCACTCACTCACTTACTTACTTACTTACTTACTTACTTACTTACTTACTTACTTACTTACTTACTTACTTACTTACTTACTTACTTACTTACTTACTTACTTACTTACTTACTTACTTACTTACTTACTTACTTACTTACTTACTTACTTACTTACTTACTTACTTACTTACTTACTTACTTACTTACTTACTTACTTACTTACTTACTTACTTACTTACTTACTTACTTACTTACTTACTTACTTACTTACTTACTTACTTACTTACTTACTTACGTACTTACTTACTTACTTACTTACTTACTTACTTACTTACTTACTTACTTACTTACTTACTTACTTACTTACTTACTTACTTACTTACTTACTTACTTACTTACTTACTTACTTACTTACTTACTTACTTACTTACTTACTTACTTACTTACTTACTTACTTACTTACTTACTTACTTACTTACTTACTTACGTACTTACTTACTTACTTACTTACTTACTTACTTACTTACTTACTTACTAACTTACTTACTTACTTACTTACTTACTTACTTACTTACTTACTTACTTACTTACTTACTTACTTACATACTTATGCCTGTTGCAGTGAGTACAGATAAGAAATCAAACTAATATTAAAAGTTAAAGCCTAAGGAAATATACATATGTGATAAAATGCACAATTGTTCATTTGGATATAAGAATTGACACCAGAAACAGATGAATTTTATTGTACAATCAAAAAAAAAACACCTGTTTACATCACTTCTAATCGATACTTTAACAAAAAATGTCTAGATAATGCATTACAAACGAATAATCAGGAAGAGATCGTCAATGTCCACTAGTGAGTTCAATCAAGTCTGTTGTGAGACAATAACCCACTAAAGACAATGATGAACTGTAACACAATTTTATGAATTCGTTAAAGTTAAACATCAAGACCTTTAAATGCTGGCCTAATGGTCTAGAGGTTAAGTATCCACATGGAAAACTAACAAATCTTGGGTTCGACTCCCACGTACAGGAGTCATCGAGTGCTTTTAAGTTTTCCATGATGGTTTAGCTTTCATGGACTCATAAATTCAATTATTTCATTACAAATGAATAAGTTGATAATCTATTCATATACATTTGAAATGAGAAATTATGCAAGTATTGAATAAACAGAAGATCGTATCTTAAACAATAATTATAATTCCATATTGTTAGATCCTAGTAAAAGAAGAAATCACGAAGAATCGATATAGAAGTGACATAGAATACACACAATGTTATCACAAGGCAAACTCTTACATGGAATCTTCAAAATTAAAGGAGAAATGGAAGAACAAAGAACATATTATGCTGAGAAATGTCAACAGATGTGAGATGAATGAATAAGAATTGGATAAAATTTGAAACAAAGACCCAGGATAGAATGGATTGAAGAATGTTAGTCCATAGCCTATGCTCTATTGGAAGTAATAAGCATTAGATATTACAATTCATGATTAAACTATTCTATGAAATTTCCTCGGTAATAATGTAATTTTATTATCATTTGTAAAGATCATTCAATTTGAAGATACCTAAGAGCAGTGAATAGATGTTCCATTATGATATAGATCTTCTCAACAGTTCATAACCATAAGACTGTCAGAAAGAGAATGTAAAGTCTTTAAGCTTAGTCGGTATGTTACATTGAAATCAATGTTTTAACATGATTATACAATTATACAATACCATCTGTAATGATTATGTTATTTTGATATGTAGACTACTGAATGGTAAATATCTTCATCAGAATGATGTATGTTTTTCTGTTGAGAGTTTTGTTCTCTCAGCTTGATGGTTTAGTTGTGAAGCTTTCATTGTTCTTCTTATGAATGATATCATCAGCAGCAGCAAAAACTTCAGATAGAAGTATGAAGTGTTCGTAGACATAGACGTAAATCCTATTCAGTACTCCTTTGGTTTTCAAGGATTGTTATGCTAGAGTTAACCAGTGAAGTAAGCTATATATAGATCTATATTACCTTAAATGATCAATCCTTACAGTTCAAAGAGTGAGTAAATCAAATGAATAAAACTCTATAGATAACAAATAGCTTTCACGTGAACAATAAAAGTCACTGAATTACATTTGGTTAATTTACTTAAATATATATAGCAGATTTCAATGTTGATATCTTCAATGAGAATAAGACATATTTGTCAACTAGACTGTAATCAGACAATGTAACGAGTTTGAATACGGACATGTAATTCATATCTCTGATATACAATGGTAAATAGATTTAACTTAGGAAGTTTGTGAATGTGTTATGCTCATTGAATCATTTAGCTTTCAGTAACTAACTTCAGAAAGAATTAAGTATATGTGATGAGCAGTCCCTAGGATAGGGCACACATTGAGGAAAGCACCCAACTGTATCACAAAACAAGCCCTCACATGGAATCCTCAAGGTGAAAGGAGAAGAGGATGACCAAAGAATACATTACACCGAGAAATGGAGATAGACATGAAAAAATGAACAAGAATGCTCAGGACAGAGTGGGTTGAAGAATGCTGGTCGGCGGCCTATGCTTCATTGGGAGTAACAGGCGTAAGTAAATAAGTAAGATTAGCAACTTATTCTATAGAGACTGAATTTGATTTGTAGTTCTTTATAATTATATTGCTACTATTAGTATGTTTACCGCTCACGGAATTCGAATCCCTCATGGAAGTTCGTAGATGCACACTGTTGAGGAATCTTACAATAGGATGAAATAACCTTCCAATACTTTCAAGTTTACAATGATAATCTCCTTATACAACACAATGGTTAAGTTGATAACTCTATAATTGAATGATTCTATGAAAAGTTTAATGTTGATCTTAAATTCAACAAACTATACTATCACTTTCTTTTACTTAAAGGTCTACTTAAGCTTGTTGTATAAGTTGAATGGTTTAATTTTGAATGTGTTATCATTCTTCTAAACGATACTATCAACAGTATAAACTTCCGATATAAATCTTCTCTACCATTTCAATATCTATTCATAAGATTACAATGTATGAATTTCAGAACCAGCAAGTCAATTTATAGAAAGTCTTCAATGAAATTGATCCTATGATAGTCTTATTGATCTTAGTAACAACTAGATTTATAAACATGATCACTATCCATATGATTATAAGAAGTAGATATATATGAAAAAGGATGAATAACAATAACTGAAATCAGTTGGAAACGATTGCCAATGATACAATATGGATAGAGAATGTTGGTGAGTGATCTATGTTCATTCATGAGGAGGAACAAGCGTAAGTACGTAAGTAATTAAGTAAGTAAGTAAGTAAGTAAGTAAGTAAGTAAGTAAGTAAGTAAGTAAGTGAGTAAGTAAGCAAGTAAGTAAGTAAAAGAGTAACTGAGTAAGTGAGTAAGTAAGTAAATAAGTAAGTGAGTAGGTAAGTAAGTGAGTAAGTAAGTAAGGTAAGTAAGTAAGTAAGTAAGTAAGTGAGTGAGTGAGTGAGTGAGTAAGGTAAGTAAGCAAGTAAGTAAGTAAGCAAGTAAGTAAGTAAGTATGTAAAAGAGTAACTGAGTAAGTGAGTAAGTAAGTAAATAAGTAAGTGAGCAAGTAAGTAAGTGAGTAAGTAAGTAAGTAAGTGAGTAGGTAAGTAAGTAAGTAAGTAAGTAAAGTAAGTAAGGTAAGTAAGTAAGTAAGTAAGTAAATAAAGGAAGTAAGTAAGGTAAGTAAGGTAAGTAAGTAAGTAAATATCCTTATTATTATTATTATTATTATTGATTTACATTACTTACCTTGAACAGGTGGTGGTGGTAGTGGTGGTGGTAGTGAATGTTGTTGTTGTTGTTGTTGTTGTGTAAATTTTTCTTGTTTTCTTGAATGTTTCGGTTTTCTTCTTGGTCTATATTTATAATCTGGATAAGTTTTCATATGATTTACTCTTAAACGTTTAGCTTCATCAATAAATGGACGTTTTTCATAATCTGTTAATAATTTCCATTCAATACCTAAACGTTTACTTATTTCAGAATTATGCATTTTAGGATTAGATTGAGCCATTTTACGTCGTTGACCACGTGACCATACCATAAATGCATTCATTGGACGTTTAACATGTAAATGACTATGATGATGTTGATGTTGATGATGACGATGATGATGATGATGTTGATGATGAAGTGATGAAAGAGGAGAAAGGGATGAAGTAGATGAAGATGTTTGATGATAATACTGCTGATCATGATCATGATGATCATGATGATAAACTGAAGTCGTTGGTGATAATGATGATGATGATGTTGTATTCGTTGTGATTGGTAATGATACTAGTGGTGAAGTTAATAATTGATTATCATTATTATTATTATGATTATGATTATTATTCCCAGTATTTTGTTTTCTATTAGACATTGACATTATCCATTCTGAATTCATAATCATTGTCATCATAGTTGCTGTATTCATTTGTTCTTTATTATTACTATAATCATAATCAATGAATGATGAGGATGAGGATGATGAATCTTTAGATATAATTCCTTTAATTGAATTAATAGATGGATCATGTATATTGGTATCTATAGGATCATTATTGATTATTTGTTGTTGATGATGATTTGTAATATAATGCATTAATTGATTCCATATAAAGGGATTAGTAGTAGTAGTAGTAGTGGTAGTACTAGTAGTAATAGTAGTAGTAGTAGTAGTAGTATTCATTCTGTTCATATAATAAGTCAGTTTCTTTTGCCTTAACGACTACTATATACCATCCAGCATAGATATACGTATATATATATGTGCATATTCAGTACATTGTTATTGTGGTGGTTATATCACTATAAGCAGTTTGTTATCAACTTACATTTTTCTCTTTTATATATTTACTTTACAATTACTCAATAGACTTGTTGTTGCTTGTGGTGATGGTGGTGGTCGTGGTGGTCGTAGTCGTGATAGTGGTGGTGATGATGGTGTTGTCATTGTTAGTATTATTATTATTATTATTGTTTGTATTCACAATACTGAAAGTGATAATCCTTTCATAGTTTCTTTAAATGTTCAATAATAAAGAGAGTAGAAATGATGGAATCTGTATTCATTCTGATAGATTGCCTTCTTCTTCTTCTTCTTGTTCTTGTTCTGTTCCCTTGTCTAATTTGTTTGTTTTTTTTTGGTTCTGTTCTGTTTTGATGATTCTTCTCCACCCTAATATTTTCTTTTTTGTTTCCTATTTGATAGAGAGAAGTATGAGTTATAAAACAGATTTCTTTCTTCCTCTTCTTCTTCTTCTTCTTCTTGTTCTTCTTGTTCTTTTTATTATGATTATGATTGTTGTTCTTTCATTCATTCATTCATTCATCCAATTTTCTATTGGTTTAACGTGATAAATTTCTTTCTCTTTTTTTTTTTCTTTATTTATTCTCATCGCTTAGTTTCTCTTTAATGAATAAATAGTCTTTCATCCCTGTGGTTATTTATCATTGGATTACATTCTTTTTCTGTGTTCTCTTGAGGGTGTGTGTATGTATGTATGTGTATGTACGTGTGTGTATGTACGTGTGTGTGTGTGTGTGTGTGGTTTTACCTATCGTTAGTATTACTCTGATTGTAACTGTGGTTTATTTTGGATAGGTAATCAACTAGTATTATCATTCTTGTATCTATATATTGTTAACATTAACCATAGAATTTGTTCCTCTAATTTATTAGAGGATAGAAATAACTTTGATTGTATCATAAATATAATAAGTTAGTATTGAATGTATAAATATGAACGCACATTTATGATAGTGACCATTCAGAAGAGAGAATTTTTATCTATAGAGAGAGATGTTTATCTAACTATTCTATATCATAACAACTACTACTTATTATTGGATAATAAGAATGATTGTAATCTATACTATTGAATAGGATAATAAATGATATTAGCATTACCATTACTACCAATACTACTACTACTACGACGACGACTACGAGTACTACTCCTACTACTACTGCTACTACTACTACGACTACGACTATGACGACTATGACTAAGACTACTACTACCACAACTCCTCCTCCTCCTCCTCCTCCTCCTCCTCCTACTACTACTACTACTACTACTACTACTACCAACACTACTACCACTACTACTACTACTGCCAACACTACTACTACTACTACCAACACTACTACTACTACTACTACTACTACCACTACCACTAATACTACTACTACTACTACTAATAATAATAATAATAATAATAATAATAATAATATCAGAAGGGGTTTTGTGGAGATTATAGTAATTTCAATGGTTAAGATCATGCTCATTAGTGACTGGCTTCAAGAGGTGTATCTTGGAGTTCTAGTGAGAAGTAGTGATCAGTGGAGTTCAATCAAGTCTGTTGTGAGATAATAACTCACTGAAAACAAATGGTGGATGTGTCGCTCAATTTTGTAGATTAGTTAAAGTTAAACATTAACATCGTTGGATGCCGGCCAGTTCAGTGGTCTAGTGGTTAAGTGCTCGCGCGTGAAACCAGTAGGTCCTGGATACGAATCTCGCAAAGGGGCTAGGTCATGGATATACACTGCTGAAGAGTCCCATAATAGGATGAAACGGCTGTCTAGTGCTTTCAGGTTTTTCATATTGGTCTAGCTTCAACTGACTCATGATCTTAACCATTGAAATAATAATAATTCGTGGATTGGTTAAAATTAGACATTAACAACATTGGATACCGGCTCAGTGATCTAGAGATTAAACAATCGCTCTCGAGATCCGTAGGTTCTGGCTTCGAAAAGATTGTGTAGGATCGTAAATGAGCACTGCTAAGGAGTCCCATACTAGGACGAAACGGCCGTTCAGTACTTGCAGGTCATTTATCGTTGTCTTGCTTTCACTGACTCGTGAATTCAACTGTAATATTCTACTAACATTAAGAGCAATCAGAATGATGATCAAAAATTAACTATTGACTATTGTGTGATAATATTAAATAAAAGCAATGATTCCATTAGTCTCTCATTCATAACTGTTGAAGTCATCCATTTTCCAATGATATAACTACCTCCAACCATCATCTAATCTCACAATAGTGCCCGCAGTGTCGACTCACCTATACTGGTGGCCACATTGCAACATGGTCGATAACATTCGATCTGCACTAATAATAAGGACTAGACATGCATGACATTGATCACCACCCAGTGATCAATCAATTGTGATTACATCTCAGTCCTACAGGAGGCCAATCGCGGCCTAGATAGCTCAGTGGTAACGTCTGTGATTGTGAAGCTGGGTGACACAGGATCGAAACTGTCAGGGGAGCACCAGTTCCCTCAAGCTTACAGGCACATCTTGCTAACGAATGCCAAGTAGCACGAAACCCGAGTCCAAGGTTTCCTGTCGACTACCTCCAACCATCATCTAGTTGTAGATTTTGTTTAAACTGAATAAATATGACTTATATAGTTTTAATAGAATTTTAAAACTTATCAAGATATTAAATAATCAAAAACTCAAATAGAAACACTACAATTATTAGAAAATTTTCTTGATTGTCTACTACTTGATTCATTGACAGGTGACTACATTTACTGATCAGTCAGTCAGTCAGTCAGTCAGTCAGTCAGTCAGTCAGTCAGCCAGCTTCAACGTAGGATCGGGCACGTATATTTATCGGTCCAAGTTGCCATACCGCATTAGCACAACAAGATCAACACCAGATTCAGAGAAGTGGTTAACTCAGTGGTGGTAATATATAGAAGAAAGATTGTGTATAAGGAGAAAAAATTAGTTGATAGAAAGAAAGATATGAAGCGATTTTAATCTCTTAGTTGAAAGGAAGACAGAGAGTGTATACACCGACGCCATTGTGATCGATTCTGAGCCATGTCACCAAGAGTCTCCAACCATTGGTTACGATAGTCACGCGGACCCTAACCAAGTAGTCTATATCTACCAACATGGATAAGACTAGAAGTTACTGACTTGAAGCACCGATGCCATGTTTTTGGTTTGACCGCCCCTCACGTTCTTCCAACTATCCTCAACACTAGTCAAGATTACACACCGTGGTAATCAGTGTTCAGGCATACATAACATGTGGTAGATGGAGAAAATAGTTATAACATTTGAACTGGTTGGAAAATTTAGCAGTTGATGCTGAATGACCATTGGAAAATAATTAAAGGCATATATTTTTGGGGGGATCTTTGCAATCAAAGTATTTACAAAATGGGTTATTTTAGAATCAAATGATTAGTGCTTAATAGCTTTATAGCTTTTCCCAAAACAGGGTTGGATAAAGAATGCTGGTGATCGGCCTATGCTCCTTCAAGAGGACTAATAGGCGTAAGTAACACGGTGAAGTAAGTGATTATTATTATTATTATTATTATTATTATTATTGTTACTGATATCAATATTACTTACCATTCCATTTCAGTACTATCGTTCAGCAGTGATCAATTTTGTCAACAGATTATAAATAAATTACTTTATACACTAAATTCACTTGGTATTGTTGTTTACTTGAATCTTCCCATTTGATGTATAGGACTGCAATCGATCAGTCTCTTATATTGGCATAGGTGCATACTGTGCGTATTGCCTCGATATTGCCTTAATTTACAAGCATTATAAGCAAAGATGGATGGATAGTGGCTAGCAGTGGAATCCAGTTTGACACATATTTTCGTCCTATTTAGGACTCGTCAGCTGGATGTACCTGCATCTCAGAGTTGATGTTCACTTTGGGACTGGAACCCAGTGCCGTTTGTTTCAAATGCTACCGCGTTATCTACTTAGCTACTGTGTACTGATAGCCACTTGCTTGTGCAATGGGGTGAAGTTTAATTCACTTGGTATTGTTTTTAATGAATCTTCCCATTGATGTTTAGGACTGCAGTTGATCAAATTCTTAGTGGCATATGTGCATACAGGTACGGTTTACCGCGAAATCCGCAAACATTCAAAGCATAGATCGATAGTGGCTAGAAGTAGAATCTAGTGTTTCATCCTATTTGGGACTCGTCATAGAGAGCGAATTTAAACTTCACCCGATTGCACATGCAAGTGACTATCAGTACTCAGTAGTTAAATAGATAATGCGGTGGCATTTGAAGCAAACGGTACTGGGTTCGAGTCCAAGAGCGAGCATCAACTCTGAGATGCAGGTACATCCAACTGACAAGTCCCAAATAGGACGAAACGCGCGTCAAACTGGATTCCGCTGCTAACCACTATCTATCTTTCCTTAGAATACTTTATACACTGTTTCCTTATATATAATTTCATTTCTTTCAAGTTTAAAAGTGATGCTATTTATTTCAATTATATGGATTCTTTGAAATCTATAACAGAACTGGGAAAGTAAAATATGTATTTACAATTGATCTTATTAGACAAGTAGATAATTTCTTAGACTTGACTATTAGTATATTACTCTTTGAACTACTACAATTGATCCAGATCATTAGCAATGGACGGCCGTTTCATCCTAGTATGGTACTCCTCGGCAGTGCTTACCCACGATCCCGCTCACGGGATTTGAACCCAGAGCCTTCAGTCTCACGCGCGAACGCTTAACATCTAGACCACTGAGACATCATCCAACAGTGTTAATGTCTAACTTCAATCAATCCACAAATTTGCGCAACCATCTTCTATTGTACTAAGGTAGATAGCTGTCTCTACCCAACACGAATTAGCTCTACTGGTAACG